CCAGGACCAAAACGTTATCAGTAAAATATAACTGACCTTCTCATTTCGTGTGTTTGTCCAACTTCTTGTTCTTGTCTCCCTCCTTTATGCCCTGTTGTAATTTGCATTGGCGCTGCGTACTCGAGAGCTGGTCACATGTAAGAGGCAAAAAGTATTTTTAAGAGTCTTTGTGACGGTTCCTGAATGTCACTATGTTTGCAAGCGTAACCTGCGCTGCCAGTTCTGTTTATATGTCCTTCAGGAGACAGGTGTGTGTGTGTGTGTGTGTGTGTGTGTGTGTGTATTAAGTTGATATATTTTATGTCATAATCGTGTAATTGAACTGGCGAGTGAACTTTCATGAAATCTTTCTTAATTACCACACCTGTTTGAAACAATAAGGGGGCTCTGGTGGCCTGGTGGTTAACGCTCTCGCTTCACACGGCGAGGGCCTGGGTTCGATTCCCAGCCAGAGTAGAAACATTGGACGTGTTTCTTTCCACCTGTTGTCTATGTTCCCCATCAGTAAAATGGGTACCTGGGTGTTAGTCGACTGGTGTGGGTCGCATCCTGGGACACTGACCTAAGGAGGCCTGGTCACAGACCGGGCCGCGGGGGCGTTGACCCCCGGAACTCTCTCCAGGTAAACTCCAGGTAAACACCACACGGCAAAACACAGCACAACACCACACAACAAAACGCAATACCATACAACATAAAAGAACACAACACCACAAAGCACAACACACCGAAAAGTCAACGTGTGTTTGCCCAAGGAGTGGCAGGACCATCTAGTACAAAATTCGACAGTAAATCTCTACAACGGCCGTACCTTCTGTGCCATTCATCTTGATAAAGCTTTAAGGAGACGCTGGAGGTGTCTTTTACAGCTTCGTGAGATGGGTCACTACCAGAGCCAGCCCTCTGAACGGAACCTACGGGAGGACATGAACGGGGGTTAGTGAACGTGCCTTCTCCGTGACCGAACTCAACATCCTGACATATAATCTGGCCCACACTTGAACAAACACGTAGGGTAGGAGGGCGGGTCGAGGTTGTTGAGGTGGGAGACTATAGGACAGAGAGAGAGAGAGAGAGAGAGAGAGAGAGAGAGAGAGAGAGAGAGAGAGAGAGAGAGAGAGAGAGAGAGAGAGAGAGAGAGAGAGAGAGAGATTTAAGAAGATATACGATAAGGCTCTTGGAGCCGAGAGAGAGTGCACCCTGTAGCGGACAGCGAAGAGGCGGGGCCAGGAGTTGTGAATCGACCCCTGCAATTTCATATAGGTGAGCACACCCACCCACACACACACACACACACACACACACACACACACACACACACACACACACACACACACACACACACAAGAAAAAAATAGCATGATGCCATTGTTAACCAAGTGAGGACAAAAAGAATAACACAGGGAGTTTTTCGTGGAATTGTGTGGTTAAAACGTGAGAATAAAATATATATATGGTGACAATGTGAACAGGGCCCTCGGAAACCAAGTCATATATACAAATTATAATTACAATAACTGAAAAAAATGGTGATGAACTGAAATAATGATAAGTTGCAAGAATGGTAATAACCCGAAAGAACTGCATTAACTTTAATAAATGGTGATGACGTTAAAGAATTGTGATGACATTGAAGAATGATGATGACGTTAAAGAATGATGACGTTAAAGAATGGTGATGACGTTAAAGAATGGTGATAACATTAGAGGATGATGATGACTTTAAAGAATGTCATTTACCTGAAAGAATGGTAAATGGTTCGAAAGAAGAATAAACAAGAAATGTTAAATATCGAAAGAGTATTTACTGTGGCAAGAAGCCAAGGCTCTCACCATGAGAATAAAACAAAAACTCTTTGATGTCGTGTAGCAAAATCATCCTAACAGCCATATGTTATGGGTTTAGAGGACGCAAGCGGTTGGTTTAGTTGGTTAGTTTATTGGGTTGAAAGTCTATCGACTACACAAGGGTCGCCGCCTGCAACACCACCAATCGGTGTATAAATACTGAGAGATGCGCACCACTCGTTGTATATATCTTGTGTAGGTGGCGTTCACGAGCCGGTGAGTGGTATTTATATAGGTAAGAACTGAGATAATCCAGTGGCCGAGTGTCACATTATCAGTGACTGAGCTCAACAGAGCAAAATTCTCACTGGCTGAGTGAAGCATTCTCATTGGCTGAGAGAAACATGGAAAATGCAAGTAAACGTGACACAAAATGAGGTGACGAAAGGGCAAATAAAGGAGATAGACTCAAACAGAAAAAATAGACGAATGAGAAAGAAAACAGAGATCAAAAATTAAGAAGTAATAAAGAGCTATAGAATCAGAATATAGGAACCGTAAAAAAAAGCTCAGCAAACCCCGTAAATCACATATGAACACCAAGAGAACAAATGAACTTCGCGCATCTGTACACACTCGAACCCCAGGAGTAGACCCCAGCGTTACAAGAGGGAAAACAAAGGCCAGTTCATCCTCAACTGGACACCCGTACCGTATGAACTGGTTCAATTAGGCACGAGCAGTTCATAAATAGGTCCAATAGGGGGCACGGGAACCTCGTAAATAGACCCTGAAGGACAGGTGAGAGAAGCAGGCAGCTACGTGACCAAGGGCCTCCAGCACCCTGCCTATTTTGTATCGTTCAGGGGAATGTGTCCAGACCAAGAGATTCATGCCCATTGGTTATTGATTAGTCGCGGCAAGTGGGAGGAGTCCACAGCCTTGCTGGGAAGGATAGATTTTTCTTTTGCAAATAATTTTTTTTGGGGCGATTATCATTTACTATCTCTCTCTTTCTCTCTGTCTGATATTCTCTAGCAACTGCAGCTACTCTTTTGATGTACTTATGTGAGTGATACTGATATCTCTGAAACCATGCGGAGTGCGACTGCCATCTCTGATATCTTTTTAAGTGAGATTCTTACCTCTGATATCCCTGGGAGAGTGGAAATGCCATCTTTAGCATCTGATGCTGTGTTTAGTATGCTTGCCAGAGTGGGACTGATATCTTTGATAAAAGTGAATGAGGATTTCTGTTATTTTTAAAAAACAACTTAGCGTTCCTTACTCCAGTAACGCATATTTTTTTTTTTTTTACTCTTCAGAAATATTTTCGAAACGGTATACAACAGTGTGCTGCCGACAGTAGTGAAGAACAGGCACAGCTGCATAACAAGCTTTTATTTCGACAACGTTTTGCTCTGTGTAAAGATTTATCATTCTGCTGCCTTAACAAAGTTCTACTGCACAGAGAAAAAAATTGTCCCAGCTGATGCTTGTGTGCTCTGTAGAGCTCTGCCAGTCCATCGACTTAAAGCTCTAAACAGAGCGAAGCGTCGAACCAGTATAAGCTTACTTTACTTCCCATCTCATTTCTTGATTTGATGAAACAGCTTAGTGACCCAAAGGTTAGGTTAGGTAAGGTTCGTCAGGACACAGAACAAGTGTTTCCTGACGCGGGTCTTAGTCACATGATGACCCACAGCTGGAACTTCTGGTCATCTGACTTAGGCCATTGAATTTATTTGTGACGCACAGGCTTTGACATCTCTCACACAGAGACACCCCCCCTCGCTTGCCATCATCAACACTCTTCCCCTCCCCTGACATCAACATCAAAATTATTACACAGTAACTGACTTCAGGGGTGAACCTTATAAGCGATCCTATAGGAAAAGCAATCATTGGGAATTTATAAGCTATAAAAATAAAATAATTTTTTTTATCCCCCCAAAAAATGTCAACCGGCATTTAATTGCAAATTGAATGTGACTTTTTATCTGCATATTAGTTTAGATATTTTATAATTGATGCCAAAGACATGGTATAAAATTCGCTGCTGAATTGTTAGCTTTACAATACACTGATTAAGTTAAGAAAAAAAATCTTCGATGGAAAAAACACATTTCGGTGATATGAAACAGGTATTAAATTATTGATTTCACTATTGGAGAATTATTATCATAATAATAATAAAAATGATAATAAAAATAATAATAAAATATTATAATAATAATAAATTACTATAATAATAATGATAAAAATAATAATGATGATGATGATAAATAATAATAATAATAATAATAATAATAATAATAATAATAATAGTAATTATATTATTATTATTATTATTATTATTATTATTATTATTATTATTATTATTATTATTATTATTATTATTATTATTTCGTCCATCGAGAAGTGGAAAGCCATAGAAGCAAGACATTGCCTGGGGAATGGAAGGTAATCAAGTTTGATCTGATGAAGGGTTTGCTCTAATTCCAAAGATCAAGAGCCATTCATCGGGCGATAGGCCGAGAAAGAAATTCTTAGGAGAGTTGATATATGAAAAAAAAACGGAAAACACGAAATAAGTCTTGAAACTGGAGTTAGTAGATACGAGTAATTCTTAGATATGATGCGCTGTAGGAGTGTAATCACCATCATATTTATGAATGAATTAAATTTATAGATGTTAGTTAGACGGGCTCGAGTCCTGGAGGTAGCAAGAAAGCTGTGTAGTATGAGCGACTGTGTTTCCCTCTTTGTGGTTCCCTGCCTTGGTGAGAAACATCAGAGATGTTGAAAAACATCTTGATACGCTTTGAAGAAATAACAGGTGCAGAGTAAGCTTTCATGTGACAGCTTTTCGCTGCATGTAGAGCTTTCATGTGACAGCTTTACGCTGCATGTAGAGCTTTCATGTGACAACTTTTCGCTGTGTATAGAGCTTTTTTAAGTTAGCTTTCTTCATTACTGTTGGAAAATATCTCTGAATTTAGTATACTGTATTGTAGTGGAAAGACACTTTAATAAGAAACATCCTCCATTTTACTACGTTTTTCTCACAGCCTGGGTAAAACATCGTATAATATTGTCTCAGTGTATAGTATCTTTGAGTTACCAATTGGCTTAAGCTATCGCCTATGTATATATGTTGTGTTTATTTATTTGTTTCCCTTCCTAACAATATATTTGTGACTTCTCTACAGAGTCAGCCATGGAGGACTGGGCGTGGGAGGAGATGTCGGCCTCCAAGCATGGAAACGGCTCTTCGGAGACGCCTGGAAGAGGCTGGGGCAGCAGCCTGGCCCAGAAGGACGAGACCACTCGACGAAAAGCTGCGTGCGAAGCTCTCCACGCGACTTTACCCACCCCGGACCCTTCTTTCGGTGAGTGTTTGAGCTCTCTTTATATACCGAACTCGCTCTTATGTGAGTATTAGGTACACTTGATACACCTAACTCTCACTTATGTGAGTGTTGGGTGCGCTTGGTACACCGATCCCTTTCTTCGGTAAGTGGATATATTCCGTGCTTCGGTGAGGTTTGAGTCCGCTTGATTTACTGAATCCATCCTCTTGTGAGAGATGGGTTTGCTTGGTCTGTTGAACTCGTGCTTTGGGTGGTTTTGGGATCTATTTGGTTCACCGAACCACGGCCAGAAACGAACGGACCAACTTAGTCCACTGAGCCTGGGACGCGAAGAGAGAGAGAGAGAGAGAGAGAGAGAGAGAGAGAGAGAGAGAGAGAGAGAGAGAGAGAGAGAGAGAGAGAGAGAGAGAGAGAGAGAGAGAGAGAAAGAGAGAGAGAGAGAGAGAAAGCTCACACAAGTTGGGAGTCTGGTTACCTGTGAAAGCAGTAGCTTGACATTTACCTAAGGACAGGAAGCGTCTCTCCTTTCACACGCATTACCTGGACAAGGATAGGATAGGATAGAGAACAAGGTCACTTTGAGTATCGAAGGACGGGAAGGGATAGACGGAAGGAGGTTACACTGAAGATCGATAGAGAGATGAATAGAGGGATGGGGATCACTTTAAGGGGGATGGGTTGGGTTACTCGGTGGACGATGGACAAGGGAAAGGATGAAACTGGGATGGAGAAAATAGAAAAGTGTGGAAAGTGTAAGGAACGAGACCCCTGAGGAAGAGGAAGTAGGAAGACAGAATGGTTAAAGAGAGGAAATAGCCGGTTTGGGGAGGATTGGGGGGGGGAAGTGGCTCTGTGGATTGGCTAGAGGGGAAAGATGGTCCATTCGAGGGGACAGAAATCCTCAATAATAATAATAATCATAATAACACAGGAGAGAGAGAGAGAGACAGGGGAAAGAAATGTGTCAGTTTAAGTCGACTCGTATCTTGGTCACTTTAATTTAATTCGAAGCCTTTCTCTCAAGTCCGAGGTTAAATATATCTTAGAAAACAACATGCCATCCAGAGGGAAAATAATTGCTGCATACTGGGCTCACATCCAGCTTCAGAGAAGCTGGAGGAGATTCATAATCTTTCATATATTGTACTAATTTATTCATATTTGTGCTTTTTAAATAAAAGATCCCTGACATAAACAAAAATTATATATATGAAAAACAACCACTGTGAAAGAATGGTGAAATTCCAAGCGCTCTCGTGACTTCTCGAAAGCGCTTGGAATTTCACTATTCTTCCATAGTAGTTGTTTTGCATATTCTGATGTCATCTGACATATATATATATATATATATATATATATATAATATATATATATATATATATATATATATATATATATATTATCACACTGGCCGATTCCCACCAAGGCAGGGTGGCCCGAAAAAGAAAAACTTTCACCATCATTCACTCCATCACTGTCTTGCCAGAAGGGTGCTTTACACTACATATATATATATATATATATATATATATATATATATATATATATATATATATATATATATATATATATATATATAATATATATTATATATGCGAGCATGTGTGCGTGAACTACATAAAGCAAGGTAATTCACAGGAGATTGTTGCCAATTTCAGGTTCAAGATGTTGGGTAGTTTACTCGCCTGAGTTTGCTTAATATCACGTCCCCGAGCAAGACCGTGAGAGGAATTAATGGAGCAAATTTTACGATCTTGGTAGCGCGAGCGTCAACAATGACAAGAATGTGTGTATGTGTGTGTATGTGTGTGTATATGTGTATGTGTATGTGTGTGTATGTGTGTGTGTGTGTATTGTGTGTGTGTATGTGTGTGTGTGTGTGTGTGTGTGTATGTGTGTGTGTGTGTGTGTGTGTGTGTGTGTGTGTGTGTGTGTGTGTGTGTGTGTGTGTGTGTGTGTGTGTGTGTGTGTGTGTGTATGTTAATCCTCTTGAGGCCGTGCAAAGTAAAATTTACCAAAAAATTGGCATTAAATTTATGTGGTCATTTTTTCTAACATATCAAGGAGATTAATTAACTTAACCACTGGTCTTGGAAGACGTAACCAATACTTATTAGACCTATAAAGTGAGCTTTTAAAAATCCGTCACTTCTGAGACCAACAACGGGAACCTTCAGAAACTACAATGAAGACTCATAAAAGCTACAATGAGAACTACATCAGGTATCCAACGTTACTGCCACAACTGCACTCGCTAGGGAAATCATACTCACTCACCAACTCACGACTCGAAGGTTTATTGTGATAAACTGTTTAAAACATTGAGTTACAGAACATAATACAGAACAGAAGTTCTATTGCAAGAGTCTCAGGATTTGTGTGTGGAGGAAACTTCTCGCCAGGATTGACTTCATCAGTCACTTGTGGCCAATCATTGTCTTTAATAATTGTCATGAACTGTACTTAAATGTATTTTTCAGTTTATCAGTATCACCAGGCCATTTAGAAATTCTGTGTAGAGCTTTGTCGTGTGAAAGATCTGATAAAGAGCGAAAAGTTCTCCCAATGAAAGCTTGTCGTACACTTGTGTCTTTTTGGTCAAATGATCGTTGCTTTATAAGCCAAGCTTATAAAGCAACGATCATTATAATATGAACTTAAATATGACGATCATTATATTATGAACTTAAATAATAATGTGATGTTCTGGCTAATTTCCCAAGCTTTATAGACTGAGTAAATATATGCTCTTCTTGTTTCCCCATTTACTCCAGCTCTCTTTATTTATAGTTGTAAATCTGACTCGGGTGACGGCTGGAGTTGGCTGCTCGCCTGCTTGGTTGGCACCGTGACCAAGATCCTGCCTCACAGGGTACCACCACCTTAGTTATTGCCCCCGTGTCCACACCTGACTTTCAGACTCGTGATAACTGATAACTTGTCTCATTTTGTCAACATATTTCAACATATATCTCAACACATATTTCGTTGTTTGTTTATTATTAAATTATTGTAAACTTATAAAAAAATATATTTAGTTGGATTAGTCTAAATTAACATAAATGACAAAATATATCTTTAATTACTAATTGACCAGTTTTACTAATTTGGCACGACATATATATATATATATATATATATATATATATATATATATATATATATATATATATATATATATATATATATATATATATATATATATATATATATATATATATATATAGATAGAGAGATAGATAGATAGATAGATAGATAGATATAGATATATATCAATTCATAACTAACAAATTTCAAACATAAACAAACACCAAATTCAAGTGTGTAGCTAAGCATACCTTGGTTACTGCCAGATGTCTACCTCAGTATAGCTTGGTCAGAGACAGACATCCACTTTTGCATTCCCTGGTCAGAGACATGTGTTGCTTAGACTTTCAAAGCCAGAGCCAAATGTGTAGCTTAGTACACTTAGGACAGAGCCATATGTGTAGCTCAGCATACTTCGACCAGGGCCTAATGTGTAACTAAGTACATTTATGCCAGGGTTAGACTTGCAACAAAATATTCTGTGGTTGCAGAAATAGGTAACGAGATAGAATAGAATAAGAAATTTATATTTATAGGACACAAAGGAAAAGTAGAAGAGAAGTTGCATCAAAGACTGCTGGTAAGGGCTTCAGATGAACCCACTAAGAACTACTTAAGCTCTTGAATAAAGACTTGAGAAGTAACGAACCATGGCAGTGAGCGTCATTGAGTTCCCTTTGTTAAACATGAGACATCTTGCTAGTGGAAGAGACAGTGCTTGCAGGAAACAAGACGGTTCGCTAGTGGGTGAGAGACGATGTCGGGAAGATATGAAAAATCTCGCTAGTGGACGGAAGGATGTCTATCGCTAGTGAATGCAACAGTGCCTCTCAAGATAATAACATCATGCTAGTGGATGTAGCAATGCCTCACATGATGTCAACATGGCGCTAGTAGATGCAGCTAGTGATGCGATGATTTACTTTCAAAGAGCAAGAGTAAGGAAGTGGACATAACAAAGACAGTAAGCTAAAAAAGATATAAATTTATGTGTACTCTGCTCATAGCAGCACCAGATAAGTATATACAAATATATCCTCACAACTGACGGTGACACAAGTGAACAACCATGGAGAGAATAAAGTAAAAAATAAAAAAATATATGAGTACTGTTAATTTTTCCTCATATTGAGGCCTTCTTGAGCTTTAGTGGTACTAATATAATGAAAAGGGGATCAGTTTGACGCCGAAATGTGCAGAACTCTTATTATTTTGCCATATTTCAATAACATATACTATATATATACACACACATACTTACACACATTTACGGCAAGTTATCAAAACTCTCTACTTGTTTTTCAAGACGATCGTTGCTTTATAAACTAAGTCAGCGGGCTTTACCAAAATATGCCGCAGTACATGCAAGCACTAAATACAACAGCATTATTTTTAACCCCCAAATGCTAATCGCAATATGCATTCGTACACAGGCGAATTGTTCTCCCTCTCACGTACACGCATTCATTTAGCTCCAGTTAAAATTTTAGGTTGTATTTCTATTCCCAGGCATGAAGGAAGGTAACCTCATACAAGCACTTTCCCTCTCCGAGAATTCGCATTTGTTTTGTGTTTTGGTGACTTCTAATTTGTTGACTTGTGTCTTTAATGTGTTTGTACGTGAGTTGGAGAAATGTGAAGGAATTAGTTGAGAATGAGGAACTATTTTATTTTCTAGGCCTTTTATTGTTATTGATATTGTTGCTGTTGAAGAGGTATAACTTTGAAGATTGAGACACTTATGCAGCGTATGGGAATCTTTATTGAGGAAACGTTTCGCCACGCAGTGACTTCATCAGTCCAATACAAAGTAGAAATGTGTATTGTATTGGACTGATGAAGCCACTGTGTGGCGAAACGTTTCTTCAGTGAAGATTCCCATATGTTGAATAAGTGTCTCAGCCTTCAACTTGTCGGTTTTTTACACCATT